AATAAAATAAAAAAAATCAGTTAACTTTTTTTTTTTTCCAGTGGCCCTAATCCTCTTCCGTAGATAAACATGGAGCAGCTCTGGTGAGAGGGATTCATGCAGATAACACTGACTACGCACTGGATTCCTTCCATGCTGCTCTCCATTGTTTACGTTCCTGATTTATGTCGAACTGGTGACATCATCAATGATGTCAGGAAGGATGCTATAGATAATCAAACAGTACAGTGACCAGAAACATCTCATTTTGCTAACAGTCCATTAATAGTTACGCTTAAATCATCTGATTTTGATCTCTATTTGGTTCTGTGTTTTCTGTAAAGAATTGTTTTTATTCTCTATAAAGCGTCTCTCCAGCCATCCATTCCAGCTTTTCCTTCATTTCTAAAGAAATTGCTTTTTACATTCCCAGGATCATCATGATGGAATCAGACGCAGCTTTAGGTCTAAAATACTGATAAAACCTTTTTTAGCAGTCTTGGTCTGATCTTTGTAACGTCTGCCTCTGTGTGTGTATGAATCCAAAAACTCAGAGGTTTCATATTAAACAATCTTTGAAGCAAGTTTTCTACTCATGTTTTCTATATATGGAGGGAAATTTATTCCATTATTGTTGGGAGCAAAGAAGAAGTTTTGTAAATGGAAATTTGAAAAACCTCCTAACAAAAAAAGCATAACAGATTTATAATTTTCCAAAAATGTTTTTTCATTTTTATTTTTTTTTTATTTGTCTTTTTCAAATAGCGTTTCATAGCTCACATTCTCTAGTGGGGGCGGGCTTTACTGCGGAGAGAGAAGCAAAGACACATTGCTATTGGCATCAAGACAATTATTCTTATTGCCACCTTGCCAGACAGGAGATCCTAAAAAAAAAAAAAAAAATCTAAAAAAAATATGGAATGTATGAAGCCCCCTAGGGGACATGGGGAATTTTTTTTTTCTTTTGCGTTCCCTCGCAAAAGTATTGCGTTACCTCGCAAAATTTTGCGTTACCTCGAAAAACCTTTTGCGAAAGTTTTGCGTTCCCTTGGTAAAGTTAGAAAGATATTCACAGATTCGGACTTCCGGGATCAATAACTCTCGTTGTTGAAACACAAATGGCGACTCTTTCATGTCCTGATAGCACAGACTACGTATTACAAGAATCAAAAAGCGTTATTTTCGAGAAAAACGAGCCGTTCTCTGAGCTGAATGTTGCGTGGGAACGCAAAACTTTCGCAAAAGATTTTGCGGTGTAACACAATACTTTTGCGAGGGAATGCAAAAGAAAAAAAAATTCCCCATGTCCCCTTGGGGGCTCCGTAATGTAATACATTTAATAATTTAATTATTATTAAATATCTTAAATTCCATTTTAATTAATTTAATAAAAAATAAAATTGAAAAGAAAAAATATCAAAGCAAACATCGTTTAGATCAAAAAGTTTGTTTGTTTGTTTGTTTTTTTTCAAATCTCAATTTACAAATCATGTACTTTGCCTTGAAACAATAATGGAAGAAAATTCCCTCCATATTTACCTTCCTTGTTTTTGTCCTTTTTTGTCGTTACAGTATAAAACCTCGTGTTAAGGTGGGCCAGTGATGCCACCCCCCACCACAGGTGCTGCCGTGCCCCCACCGGACGGTGGGTGGGGGTGGGTTGTGGTTCTTGGATCCTTCATCTCCATCGGCTTCTCCTACGCCTTTCCCAAAGCCATCACGGTCTTCTTCAAAGACATCCAGATCATCTTCGATGCCTCCTACAGTCAGGTGGCATGGATCTCCTCCATCATGCTCGCCGTCATGTATGCAGCAGGTGAGTCGTTCCATAAGTGAAAGCAAAACAAAATCCGTGTTATCGACTACGTAGCATTAGATGTGAACGTTGCATTAGGTGTGAACGTAGCGTTAGGTGTGAAAGTAGCATTAGGTGTGAACGTAGCGTTAGGTGTGAACGAAGCATTCGGTGTGAACGTAGCGTTAGGTGTGAACGAAGCATTAGGTGTGAACGTAGCGTTAG